CAGAGCACTGAGACACAGAGATGCTGAGAATGGGGACAGGAGGAGAAGCATAAAGGGGAGATCTCTTTTTATTGAGAGAAATCAAGTGTGGCAAAGTGTTAGTCTCCTCATTTTTACTGGTGAATGTTTCACCCTAACCCAAGGGCTGCTATGTCTAATCTAAGTGATTCTCACACTCTGCAACATGATCTCCTCAAAAAGAAATTGAGAAGCAGCAGGTGCCCAGGATCTGTTTGAACTCATGCAAAAGGTAATGCACTTGAGCCATCTTGCTATGTCTGTGGAACCTCAATGATTCATGTTCAAAAGCCACTGCTGACAGTTAGGTCTGGGGGCCTCTAATGTTGAAGAGCTATTAAGTGACCTCTATGGCCTAGGGTTTCCAAGGTCCCGCAGATCCCAGCATCATCTTTCCAGAGTCTGACTGAAGTGGTATGGGAGGGAGATACAGAATAGCAGGCACTCCTGCATCTATACGACTTATGATTTTCAGTGGATTATTTGAAATACTGCATGTCTTAATATATTTATGTCTATCTCCTCTGGGTCCTTGGGATGCAGTGTGTCCTGGTTGTTCTGAGACTAGATTCTTTCTGATTGTCTATTTTACATGATTTCTGAACTCTCAGCATCACATGACTTCAGATCTGCAAAGCTCACCTTGCTCTTTCCTTAGACGGTTTAAGATTTGGAAATAGTAATGCTTTAGAATATTTCAATACGATTTCACCTCTTAGGATAAGTCTTCCCTGAGCATGTACAGGTGGGATTGAAGTTGTTTCTATAAATCCATATGGAACCTAATAAGAGCATATCACTGCATTCATTGTTTTGGATCACAGAGGTTATTTCCATAACATCTTCTCCCACATCACTATGAACTTTTCATGTTCAATTCTTAATACTCACTCAATGATTTCTGGTGTGTTCTTGGTACTCGAGTAAGGGAGGAGCGAGATCTATTCCTTACACTTATGCATGTAGGACACCCTTGAGACAGATTGCCAGATATTTTTTCTGAGAGAGAGAGAGAGAGGCCTGTGTGATGTGCTATCCTGTGTTTGTGAGAGGTCTGTGTACAAGACCTGTGTTTAGGAGATAAGGCCTCTGTGTATGTAAGTTTCACAGGCTGTCATAGCCACAGTAACACTCATCTGGAGACAATGACTTACCTTTGTGGTAGAAGTGAGGCCAGAACTCAGTGCTTTTTACTGCCTGACTAGTATCCACGTGAGAAGATGACAGAATTGAGTAAAAAAAACTGTGTTCTTGGTTCATCATTCCTTTCTTCAGTCTGGAGGTCTTCTACATTCCAGTCTCTATCTTGAGAATGAGAAGTAATCTGAAAAGACCCCTTACTTTGTGGATACTAGAGGTGAACAGGGAATGAGAAAACATCAATTAAATCATCACAAGGTGTAACATTCCAAATCCTGATATCTAAGAATTATTGAGGGTTTAGGGTTTGTCAGACACTAGCTGAGGAGTGTCTGTATCTGGAACTCTTTATACTCAAAAACAGTTTTGGGCATCAGGAATTGTTGCCCTTTTTTATAGAGAATGCAAGGCATAGAAAGATAAAGTCACTTGGCTGATACTACGTGGCAGGTGAGCAGTCACTTACCAACACTCTGATCATAGTTTAGTCTATTTCTATAATCAGAACATCAAATCTCACTTGTGAAATTTTGGAAATAGGACCAGGTTCACTGTCAGGACTTAATCATAATTGTTGAATCTCAATGGTTTTGGGACTCAGGAATAGGAAAATTTTATTTCTGCTCCTAGCACTTGCCCAGAGTTATTGATTGACATTTACCCCTAGAGGCTTCCTGCATGAATGTGAAAAACTTGATTGAAGTCTCTTCCTTAAGGTTCAGGAAAGTATTCAAAATACAGCCTGGCAATTGCACTCAACTTTTCATGGCCATAATTGAGTTGTCTCCATGTGCTCCCTCCACTAGGAGACTGGTCCAGAAAGTGATGAGAAAGCATACTGTAGACACAGGAGCCCAGTCAGACAGCACATTTTAGAAAATAGAAAGTGATGAAATTGTGGAAAGATCCCAAGGAGACAGATGTCCACAGAAGGCAGCACCATTCATAAAGATACAGAGTCTGGGCAGATGGGTACTGGGATACCTCAGACACAGATCAAATCCTGTAACTCCTCTTCCCCTAACCCTGTGACTTGGTGATGTGATCATTAGCCATCTACGCCCAATCACTGCTCCTGCGTGAGGACTGGCACAGGTATTGTATGAGTTCCAAACACTGCAGGATGAATGCTCATGAGGGTGGATGTTTCCTTACATCCTCAGGCTTCAAGTCTTTCTTGGTGATGAGAAATATCATGTGGTGACAGTTGAGGCAGGGGCTTTCTATTGTCTGCTAGAATGGTGACTACATGGCCAGAATTACTACAGGGTCCTCCAGAATCAATAATACAGAGAATCTGACACAAGACTTCCTTTCTAGCTCTGGAATAAATTGTTACTTACCACTTGAACTTCAGAGTCTTGAGAAGGGCCACTAAAGAGTCATCACACCTGTCTCTGCTCCTAATGTGGCTCACCATTCTGTTTCTTATTGCATTTCTGCTCTCCCATCCCCTCAACTTCTAAGATCCTTACCAGTCTGTCACACTGATGACATCGTAGTCAGTGTGACCACCATGCCCTCCTGTCCCAATTTTGTCTATCAATGATTATTTGGAGCCTACTGTTCTGTTGTTCTGTCGCTACTCCAATAAAATATACACTTCACACAGCTCACAGGAGTATTAGCACTCAGTGCCTTTTTTATTCTTGCAGTGACTGAATAGGCTTGAATAAATGAATTAGGAGCACCATGTATAAGGCAAGTTCCTAATTTAGCATTTCTTCCTCACAACCTCTCTTTGAAGTAAGCTTTTATGAGTTTGCTTCTAAGATTTTTATGGCAGAGGATTTTGGTTAAGTGTGTCTCACTGAGTACTTAAGGTTTCAATCCGGTGGACTGAAGTCACTATGATCAGACTGGACAGCATATAAATCACAGTTCTTCATTTCCTTCCCTTGTGTAAAGTTGTCTTCCTCTTCTCACACTGTTGAGACACAGAATGTAAAAATCATGCGCATGAATAAAAATATATTTCTAATCTGAATCACATTAATGAGTAAGACGCAAAAATACTTAAAGAAACACTTGGTATAAGTGAAATAAGATATACAGGAAAATATAAGATTCTGACCATATAATTTTGGAAAGCTTTATTTTAAGAAGTTAGGCAGGTTCAACATGTTAGATATGTTAGTATTGAAACACCTTGCTGAAGTCACTGTGACAGGATTCTTAGTTTTATTAGTTTAACTTAGGGACTGATCATGCTTACAGGAAATATCCAGGGACATGGAGGATCTGAGAGAGAAGGACTGTGGAATGAATCATCTAGAAAAGCAGGCAGAAACAGTCATGGTAGAGTAGGAAGCCCAGGAGACAAGGAAAGACCCCCTTGCCAAGAAAGGGCTACAGTCATAATTGAAGACACCATCAAATTTCTACATGCATTGGCTGTCATCTGCAGGATCAGATTTATCTGCTCATGAATACATACTTATCAGCATTATTTATTTCCTTATGGCACATGACTGAGAGATCCAGCTTCTCTGTGTCACTTGTCATCTAACCTCAGTTCCTAGGGTATATTTGTAGTTCCCACTCATACCACAGTACACAGTCCAGCAAGGGAATTTCCCTCAAGTCTTTCAAGTGGTTCCTCATGTCAAAGGCCATAACAATAGGAGTGTCTGTATATCAGCTTTGCCATCCTTAATCATCTAGACTCAGCGCTAATCTAAGGGTGAGGGAAATGCAGGGCATAACACAGTGTGCATAAATCAGAGGCTACCTTAAAATTCTGCCTACTGTTCCCACTCTTCTATGAAAAACTTTGCTCATGATGCAAAAATATCCCAATATCTCAAACTATTGGAAAAGTGGTTTAAAAGGTGAAGAGTTTGAAAGAGGGGGAAATATAGACCCTTTTCCTATGCCAAAATGCTCTACTTGGGCACCATACTCATTTTGAGCTGGATAATAGTTAGTTGGGGCACAGGCCAGTACTGTTTTTAGGAGGATGACAGCTATCCACTGGAAGGCAGTAAAGCCCCTTATGTGACAGCTGGAAATGTCTCCGGACAGTTTTCAGAATTCTGGGAAGTCAAACTTACCCAGCTGAGAATCATGTTTCTACATCTTGTTAGTGCACATAGGGGAGGGCATTCTTTCCAGTAGTGAAGAGTTATGGTGCTGATTGGTAGGCATTGTTTGTTTTTTCTTATAACTTATGACATTGAGTGAATTCTTTCTAAAGTCATTGGAATTATGATACACCTGCCTACATTCACATTGGCTGCCAGTATTATATTATTTGCACTTTCAAGGTTGTGAATTAGTGTGGGAGTCCTATTTAACGTAAAAGGATGATGGATGGCATCAGTTCCCCTTTGGTCTCTTCACTTTTTCACAACTCTATAAGAGAGCTGAAATGTTCTTGCACTAAGACACTCAGTACCTATCACCCTTATGAATGAGGGCCCTACTTTCCTATGTATTTCTCTCTCCTTTGATCCTTGATCTCCCTTTGTTTGCCACAAAGATATTTCCCTCTGTTTCCTGTTAATTTTCTTGTTAAAAACAATCATGGGTGTTCAAAAACTATCTTGTACTGTAGTTTGATGGTAAATATTTTGCTGTGCTCATAGATAAAATAGGTCATCTTTTACAATCTTCAAACTTACAAACTTCTGTGTTAACCCAAAGGTAGATGGTAAAAAATATATCCCAGGAAATAGGTCTAAAGAAAAGTCAACATCAACGCTTGCTGTTAATCAGAGATAACTGACTAGTTTAATATGTAGAACACAGGAAGATGCCCCTGAGTCTATCTTAGTCAGCTTCCTTCATCTGAAGTACTTAGAGAATGGATTTGTACTTTGTTTCCTTTCTTCTCTTTGTAGGTTCTCCATGGATTAAATCATCAACAGTGACAGGATTTCTTCTGTCTCCATTGTGGTGTATAATCTATAGACTATAATACTGTATATACTCAATAGTAGACCACCTCAGCTATCTACTCTCAGGATGAAGTTGGAAGATGTCTGACAGTGGCCTGAACACACTTATTTGTCTTAGAGACAACCTCAAGTATTAGACTGTTGAACAGGTACTGTTGGCTTAGGATACTTGTTGACTAAAAAAAAATAGGGTTAAGTTAATTTTAAAATCTAGATAAACATCTGGTGTGAAATTGCTTTGTATCATGTCAGACTTATTTTGTAATTTCTTTCTTTTACAGATCCAACTGGCTGTAAATAATAATGGATAATCTGATCTCTAATCTTATAGTCTAGATGTGTTTTACAAAATTAAGAGTTTTTAATTCAAACCTATAAAATATGGTGCTTTACTTTAAGACTGCTTGCCCTCAGTACTTCCTGAGAGTAATAAATCATTCTTTGAGTTATGTCACTGATTTCTAATTATATTTAAAATTACAATTTATGAACATACAATGCAAGATAAACAACCAAAATAATTGTAAGAACATGAATGACTATATAATGGAAAGTCATCTGGAAATAAGCACTGCTATTTGGTCTTATTTATTTCACATTCCTCCTCAGCACTCAATGAATAATTAACTGGAAATGCTGAGGAAGAAGTCATACAGACAGTTTTGGTTTTGACATTGATTTCCATACTTAAGAAAAAGCATGTAAATGTTAAAGGAAATTTCACATGCCTGTGGGTTGGCATGGGGAGGATGGAACACTTTTGAGAGATTAAAAAAAGTAGCCATGCATATTTTCATGAATAATTTATTTATCAAATTTTTCCAAGCTGTGTTTTAAATATATCATTTTATTGGCTCAAATTCATATCAGAAATACTTGTTCATTTTTAGCCAGAAACTCCATAGGTGTTACAGAACAAAAAAGTACACACACTATGACTTACCCTTTTGTCTTAGCGTTTCAATCTCCCAGGAATGAAAGTTGCTTTAGGTTTCACATTGATCAAAATAATTCTGAAGATTTCAAATACCCTCCAACTTCACAACTCAGACTTAATCTGCTTCTCTGTGGAGCATTGTCTCTGCTATGAATCCCCACTGGCTTCATTCTAGTAGTCTCTAAGCCAAATTCCAAATTGAGTGAGGTTTGTGGGTGATATTACAGAATCGACTCTTCTTACAACTCACTCACTCTTCTGTGATAAGAATAACTATAGTGAGATTCCAAGATGGTGAATTTGGGACCAACACACTGTGATAGGCTACAGATGAACAGGAAGAAAAAGGATAGGGAGTACACTCTCAGGATAGAATAGGAGAGAAAACTGCACTGGAAATCCTACAACAGGAAAAGGAATGGCATGGACCTGTGTGGAAGGTGCAGACATGCAGTAAGAACACCAGCACAAGCACAACTGAAGCAGCCAAGAGCTGGAGCAGGAGGCAGGTTGGAGACAGAGGCGAGGCTGGGCTGAAGCAACCCATGGTGATACAGCCAGAGGGAGTCACAGTGTGACTCTGGACTGGAGCTCTGGAGGCCAGCAGTTGCTACAGGTTGTCCATGAACCCAGTGGAAGGACAAGGGGCATATTTAATTCACCTCAACTTCCCCGTGAAAGCTCCTGCTGCTTGGATGAGAAGGATTGAGCATCATTTTGGATTAGAGCAGGAGCTGCAGAAGAATTTGTGCACATGCACAGCAACTGGCTGAGCAGGACTCCCTATTTTTTGCAGTGCTGGCAGTAATAGTAAGGAGATAGCAACATTTGGCCAGTGACTTTCATGTATGCATGTGATCCAGTGACTCTAGCAAAGAGAATACTAGGCAGTCCCCACTGACTTTGAGCCTGACAGGGAGGTAGGTGGTCAACCTCAGAGGACAATGAAGCACCCACAGACTCCCAGGAGCAAGACACCTAGGCAGAACTATCTCGGGGAACATTTGCCACTCTATTGACTGGACAGCCTGGTAGGGCAGAGAAACCTGTGCACTCAGAGTCTGTTGGGGCCTTTTGTACTGAGACTGTAGAGACTTGGTGGATACATGAAAAGGTACAGGGTATAGTGGGGCCTGTGGGCAATCACTGGTTGCAGCTCCACATGCTTGGATTTCCTTGGTTACTAATAACAGGTCTTTGCAGCAGAAACTGTGCTCACAGTGAAGACTGTGCAGAACACTTGTGGGGTTTATAATGGTTCAGAACACACCCAGGCATTGAGAGCTACTATAATCACCTGTGTGTTACTCTGGAAAATTACCCCACACCTAAGCGCTGACCAGAGCTCCGTGGCCATACCAACCATATACCTCTGGGTATTTACTAAAAGTGCAGGCATTACATTAAGTCATAGATTCATAGCTCAAAGAAAAAAAAAACTTTACCATGAAAAGAAAAAAAACTCCACAAATGTATTCATTGTATTTAACTAAATACAAATGAAGAAATTCAAGAAACAATAATAAAGAAGACCCTGTTACCCTCCCCTAGAGGAACACAACTATGTTTCAATATTTAAATGTTTGGATGAAGAGATTGAGGAAATTCTGGAAATAGAATTAAAAAGTAAACATAGGTCATTCTTAAGCAACCAGAAGCAAATCTGTTGCTCCCCCTCTTCGCGGAGGAACGACACAGGACCCTGCGCTGTTCTTTTGTCTGCTCGGCCCTTCCCGGGTTTGCTGCTGGTTCTTCCCAGGTTGGCTGCCGTCCCTCCACCTCCGTGGAGGGGCAGGCCCCCCTGCCACTTTCCCCACTTCCGCAGGGGAGCAGCACACCGCCGGCCGGCTCTCTCAGGGGCTGCTCAGATGTTCCTCAGGTGTTCCTCTTAGATGTTCCTGGTGCATGTTGTCTCTCTCCTCCTTTATAGTCCTCTTCCGCCAATCCCAACTCTGCTACCCACACACCGAGTACACTGCTCCCCTCCAATCAGGAGCAAGATCAGCTCCTGCAGCTTGTCAAGTTGGTGAGAGGCAGCTGTGTGGAAGCTGTTTACTCCTCTCCCAGCGCCATATTGTGGGAGAGCAGATGCATAGAATAAGTCTTAATTCCAGTAACTTAGTCTAGTCCGAGTTGCTCCCCACACAAATCCACAAACTTAAGAAAACCATACATGGTATGAATGAAAATTTTCCTATGAAACTGATATGTTAAAGAGAAATCACAATGAAATATTAGAAATGAAAAATTCAATAGACCAAATAAAATATGTGGTGGAAAGCCATAACAGCAGACTTGGCATGGAAGAAGGAATATTGTCCTAGAAAACAAAACTTTGGAAATCATTCAATTAGATCAAAGAAGAAGAAAAAGAAGAAATTAGAAAACTTAAAAACAGTGTTGGAGATTTATGGGATACTATCAAATAACACAACATACAGGTATTAGAGTTCTTGAAGGTACAGAAAGAGAGAATGGATTAGAAGCCCCATTTAGTAAAATAATTAGAGTAAACTTCACTAATTTGGAGAAAGAAAGGAACACTCATGTAGAGGAAGTATATAGATCTCATAACAGATATTACCAGAAAAGATATTCACCATAAAGACCATAAAATGTGCATGAGAAAAATCCAGATTACTTTCAGAGGATCCAGTTAGACTCACAGCTAACTTCTCATCAGAAACACAAGCTAGGAGAGAATGGCAGCATATATCCCAAATCTTAAGAGAAAAAAAAAAAACTGTCAACCCAGAATACTGTAGCCTGCTATGTAGTCATTTATGAGTGAAGGTGAAAGAAACACCTTTCATAACAAACATAAATTGAAAGAATTTGTCACTTCTCATCCAGCTTTACATAAGCTGCTTAGGGATGTGTTATGCACAGAAACACAGAAAGATAGCCATCAATATGAAAGAATGTAAAGTTTGATAATCCTCCAGTTAACATACAAAAGAAATCCAAAGTAAGCACTAGGAATATTTACTGGAAAATGGCAGAGCCAAGTTGTTAAATATCAATAGTCACATTGAATGTGAATGGCCTCAACTATCCAGTTAAAAAATACAGGCTGGCTGAATGGATTAAAACATATGACCATCTATTTGCTACCTATAAGAAAAACATCTCACTACCAAACAGACATACCAACTGAAAGTAAAATGCTGGAAAAAATTTTCCATGCCAATGGAAAGTAAAAATGTCAGGTGTTTTCATCCTAATATCAGACAAAATAGATTTTAACACAAAAAATTGTAACAGATGAAGAAGGGCTTTATATAATGATTAAGGAATCAATTCAACAGGAAGATGTGACTAAAATAAATGTATCCACAACTAATTATAAGGTGCTTAGCTATTCAAAAGAAATGTTAATGGATATAAAAGGATACATAGACTACAATACAATAGTAAGGGGGATATCAGTATCCAACATTTATCAATAGATCAAATAGACAAAAAAATCAGTACAGAAACATAGGTAATAGAGTTTATGGACCAAAAGGACCTAACAGATATGTACAGAACATTTCACCCTACAGTTGAAGAATGCACATCTTTCTCATCAGTGCATGGAACTTTCTCTAGGCTAGACCATATGCTAAGTCCATAAAGTAAGTCTCAAGAAATTAAAAAAATGTTGAAACACAACATACATCTTCTCTAGCCACAATGCAATGAAGCTGGAAATCAACAACTTGGGAATCTCTAGATCATATGCAAACACATGGGACTGAAAACATGTTCCTGAAAGAACAGTGGTTCATAGACTAAATCAAAAGTGAAATCAAAAATTTTCTGGGAACAAATGAAGGTGACAATACATCATATCAACATTTATGGGATTCAATAAAAGCAGTGTTAAGAGCAAAGTATAGCAATTGTTGCCTACATGAATAAATTGGAAAGGAACCAAATAGATGAGCTATTAATGTATATCAAGGACCTAAAAAAATAACAAACCAAACCTCAAATTAGTAGGAAGAAATATATAATTAAAATTAGAGAAGAAATAAAACTCAAAGCAAAAAACACAAAAGATCAGTGAAATGAAGAGCTTATTTTTTGCAAATAAGCAAACTGATACATCATTGGGCCAACTAACAAAAAAAGGGGGAAGAAGACACAATTCAATAAATTTAGAGATGAAAATAGAAATATAACAGACACCACGGAAATAAAAAGAATCACGAGGAATTACTAGAACAAACTGTGAGCCAAAAAATTGGAAAACTAGAAAAAATGGAGAGATTCCTAGACACATATAATCTACCAAAATTTAGTCATGAAGGCATAGAATATCTAAACAGATTGACAACCAACAGAGAATGAATCAGTAAGACCTTTCCAACAAAGAAAAGCCCAGGACCTAATGGCATCTCTTCTGAATTCTACCAGACATTTAAAGAACTAACAGTATTATTCTCAAGCTACTCAGAAAAATTGAAAGGGAGGAAATCCTCCCAAACTCCTTAAATGAAATGTTAATAATTTACTTTCTAAGTCAGAAAAATGATACAATAAAGAGAACTATAAACAAATATCCCTGATGAACATAGGTGTAAAACTCCTCAACAAAATATTAGCTACTCGAATCCAGCAAAACGTCAGGCATATAATTCACCTGGATCAAGTGGGATTTATTTTTATTATTTAGGAATGGTTCAACATTCACAAATCAATAATTGTGATACATTACATGAACAAACTGAAGAACAAAACCAATATGATTATCTCAACAGATGCAGAAAAGCATTTAATAAAATACAACATCCTTTCCTGAGGAAAACCTTAAACAAATTGGGTATAGGAGGAATGTTCCTCAACATTATCAAGGCAATTTATGACAAACCAATGGTCAGCATCCTACTGAATGGTGAAAAGCTGAATGCATTCCCTCTAAGATTCAGATCCAGACAAGGACGCCTACTCTCATCATTGCTAGTTAATATAGTCCTGGAAGGTTTAGCCAGAGCCATTAGGCAAGAAAAAGCAATCAAAAGGATATAAATTGGAAAAGAAGGAATCAAACTATCCCTATTTGCAGATGACATAATCCTATATATAGGGAATTTGAAAGACTCTACTAAGAGACTATTTGAACTCATAAAAGAGTTCGGTAAAGTGTCAGAATATAAAATCAGCAAAGAAAAATCAATAGCTTTTGTATACACAGACAATGCCACAGCTGAGAAAGAACTTTCAAGATCAGTCCCATTAACATTAGCTCCAAAAATAATTAAATATCTTGGGATAAATTTAAGGAAGAAGTCCAACCAAGTTCTCTGATGAAAATTACAAAAGCACTAAAGAAAGAAATTTAAAAAAAACAACATTTAAAAATGAAAAAAAAACCTTACATGTTCATGACTTGGGAGAAGCAACATCATCAAATGTTCATACTTCTGAAAGCAAATTACAGATTCAATACATTTCCTGAGACTATTGTGGTTACTAGGCAACAGAATCTGTCCTTTCCAGTTTGTGCCACACAAAATGAACCATAGGAGAGTCACTATAGCATGCCAGATCTTAAAACCAAAATCCTGAGGCAAAGCAATCACCAATAACCATAAAATCATCCCCTAAGAAAATTGGATTTCCATGTGCAGAATCATGAAGCAAAACCCCTACCTTTCACCTTACACAAAAATTCACTCAACATGGATTAAAGGCTTAAATCTATGACCCTACACCATCAAATTATTAGAGAGCATTGGAGAAACTCTGCAAGATATAGGTACTGGCAAAGTCTTCTTGGAAAATACCCCAGAAGCACAGACAGTCAAAGCCAAAATTAACATTTGGGATTGCATCAAATTGGGAAGTTTCTGTACTGCAAAAGAAACAGTCAGGAAAGTGAAGAGGCAACCGACAGAATGGGAAAAATATTCACAAACTATGCAACAGATAAAGGGTTGATAACCAGAATCTACAAAGAAATCAAGAAACTCCGCCGGCGCCGTGGCTCAATAGGCTAATCCTCCACCTTGCGGCGCCGGCACACCGGGTTCTAGTCCCGGTTGGGGCGCCGGATTCTGTCCCGGTTGCCCCTCTTCCAGGCCAGCTCTCTGCTATGGCCAGGGAGTGCAGTGGAGGATGGCCCAGGTGCTTGGGCCCTGCACCCCATGGGAGACCAGGAAAAGCACCTGGCTCCTGGCTCCTGCCAGGATCAGCGCGGTGCGCCGGCTGCAGCGGCGGCCATTGGAGGGTGAACCAGCGGCAAAGGAAGACCTTTCTCTCTCTGTCTCTCTCTCTCACTGTCCACTCTGCCTGTCAAAAAAAAAAAAAAAAAAAAAAAAAAAAAAAAAAAAAAAAAAAAAAAAAAAAAAAGAAAGAAAGAAACTCCACAAGATCAAAACAAACAACCCACTTAAGAGACGGGCCAAGGACCTCAATAGACATTTTTCAAAAGAGGAAATCCAAATGGCCAACAGGCACATGAAAAAATGTTCAAGATCACTAGCAATCAGGGAAATGCAAATCAAAACCACAATGAGGTTTCACCTCACCCCAGTTAGAATGGCTCACATTCAGAAATCTGCCAACAATAGATGCTGGAGAGGATGTGGGGGAAAAGGGACATTAACCCACTGTTGGTGGGAATGCAAACTTATTAAGCCACTATGGAAGTCAGTCTGGAGATTCCTCAGAAACCTGAATATAACCCTACCATTCAACCCAGCCATACCACTCCTTGGAATTTACCAAAGGAAATTAAATTGGCAAACAAAAAAGCAGTCTGCACCTTAATGTTTATTGCAGCTCAATTCACAATAGCTAAGACCTGGAACCAACCCAAATGCCCATCAACAGTAGACTGGATAAAGAAATTATGGGACATGCACTCTATAGAATACTATACAGCAGGGACCTGTATACTTAAACATGAAAAATATTATTACTACCTGAGGAGCTGAAGCCCACAGACTTGAGAAGGAGTTAAAAAACAAAATCCTGAAATTCAACATGTAGGTATGGTGAAATTACTAACTGATACAATGAATCATCTTGGAAGCATTTTACTCAGCTTCACTGTGAACCCCATTTCCTACTTTTCCACACTGACTACAAAGCCATTCAGAAGACATATTTTCTAAGGAGAACACATGTTTTGAAGAGCAATTGCACAGGCAACAGAACTAGAACTACTTCCAAACTTAGGGAATATTTTGGTACTAACTAACATTGTTCACAGTTTCTCATTTTAGTCTGTCAATGTGCTATACCTTGAAGTGATGTTCCTATTGTTTACATTGGTGAAAACAAGTGGCATCTCCATGATTATTGGTTTCATTTGTATTCCCACTCTAAGATTTCATTCCATCAAAATCAACAGCCTTGAGTATGCTGGTTGTATCTTAGCATGTGATTTTTATTTATTTTTGAAAGATTTATTTATTTACTTGAAAGAGAGAGAGAGAGAGAATTTTACATCAACTGGTTCACTCCCCAAATGGCCACAGTGACTGGGGCTGTGCCAGGCTGAAGTCAGAAGCTAGGAAACCTTTCCATGTCCCCTGTGTGGGTGCAGAGGCACAAGTACGTCAGCCATCCTCTGCTACCTTCCCAGGCAGATTAGCAGGGGGCTAGATTGTAAATGGGGAAGCCAGGACTTGAACTAAGGAACAAATGGGATGTCAGCACCAGAGGTGGAGGCTTAACCTTCTATATCACAGCACCAGGTGTATGTGATTTTTATAAACAATTACTGTTTCAGGGTCAGTCTTTATAAAATGCTTATATTATTTCCACATACCTTATGACCTTGCTAACAGAAGCACTCTCCAAACCTAATTATACAGTGTTCAATCCAGAAATGACTTAGTTACTGAATTGAATATTTCAGTATGTTTTTAGGCCATAGTGTTCTAATTTTGTAAAATTTCTTGTTTCTCTTTTAATTTTAATTCCTTATTTCATTTAATTTTTCTAATGTTAAGAGATATAAAATAATCCTAGGCATTTCTATGGGCCAGTGTGATGACTTTTTACTTTTAGATGTGTTGTAGCACCATGTTTATTTACTGAGAACTAATGCATTCATAAGCACTTTAATAATCTGTAAAATGAACTAGTACAACTTTATACACAGGATATCATTTTATTTTTTATTTATTTAAAGAGGTATTACTTATGTAAATCTCAACTGTGGATGTTTCTTGCTTTATGAGAGAGATTTAAATTTCTTACACTGAAACTAGGTCATGATTGTTTAATATATTCAGTAGTATGCCTGTAAGCACCTTGCAGATACACATGGGAATAATACGAAAATAAATAGCTTTCTAATGATGTAAGCTGCCCATATGAAAAAATGCAATTCAATAATAGAAAGTTTACTGTAAAACTACAGCTGTCTCCATTGAAACAGCTCATACAGACTTTGAAGTATTCAGGTAGCAGTGAGCACTGCTCCTGAGATTCGTGGTTGGCAACCTCTTTTCTGAGTAAGTTCTTCACTTGTGGACCTTTTTGACGTAAGAAACTTCAAGTTTACTCTGATGGGAACATACAAAGTATAGTAAAATGTGATTCCAGAAACAAACACAAATTTTTATTAAAAGTTTAAAAAATAAAAATGAAATCTATGCGAATGAATGATAACTATATATGCATGGATTATCCATGAGAACATCTATAAAGGTTATTACCTGAAATCTAAATGAGCACATTTTTCCTTTTGGACTATTTTTCCTTGGCTTTATTTTCCCCTTACTCTGATAAGTCAGTGTACATCTTATAGACTTCCAAGTGACTCTAATCAAGTGAGACTTGAGCTACTAGCACTTTTCTACATAGGATCCCAGGTTTTTAACTGTATATAAAGGTAGTTATGGGAAATGGTGTGCTCATGTCCGAATTTGAAATAACTTAATTGGTATAGTGCATGTAACTAAAATGGTAACATCTCTGACATTAGCACTATTGCTAAGCATTTTCTTTGAGTCTTATTGCTTTTCACTTTATTCTTACTAACTTCTAATGTTTTTAAAATTTACGAAGGTTTATACAACATTTATTTAACAATAAATTGCAGGCCTGTGAGCAGTGCTGGTATTTCTTTAGCTTTGTTTTAAGTGGAACCAAATTTCACAAGAAAGTGCCAGCTGTCAGCTATGCATCTCCAGCACAGAGTAATCCAAATAGTAAAATGAATACCCCAAGTTTATAGGTAAACAGTGCAAAGTATCTAGGAGAGACTAGAGGATTAACATCTTTAACTTCCAATAGATGACATTTCTGATTTTGAAGTCCAAAATTTAACAACTGCAGATGCGAAGTTTTTTTTTATTTTTTTTAACTTTTATTTAATGAATATAAATTTCCAAAGTACGATTTATGCATTACAATGGCTTGCCCCACATACCGTCCCTCCCACCCACTACCCTCCCCTTTCCCACTCCCTCTCCCCTTCCATTCACATCAAGATTCATTTTCGATTATCTTAATATACAGAAGATGAGCTTAGTATACATTAAGTAAGGATTTCAACAGTTTGCTCTCACACAGAAACATAAAGTGAAAAATAATAGATGATTTTTTTAAATGATGATGAAATCAGATCAGACCTATTGTCATGTTTAATCCCAGTGAGAGTCAAGTTGGGAGTTGACAATTTTTTTTTTTTTTTACAGAGGATCAGTTTAGTATACATTAAGTAAAGATTTCAACAGTTTGCACCCCCATAGAAACACAAAGTGAAATATATTGTTTGAGTACTCGTTATAGCATTAAATCTCAATACACAGCACATTAAGGACAGAGATCCTACATGAGGAGTAAGTGCACAGTGACTCCTGTTGTTGACTTTACCAATTGACAATCCTGTCTATGGCATCAGTAGTCTCCCTATGCTCCAGTCATGAGTTTCCAAGGCTATGGAAGCCCTCTGAGTTCTCTGATTCTTATCTTGTTTAGACAAGGTCATAGTCAAAGTGGAGGTTCTCTCCTCCCTTCAGAGAAAGGTACCTCCTTCTTTGATGACCTGTTCTTTCCACTGGGATCTCACTCGCAGAGATCTTTTGCCAGAGTGTCTTGGCTTTCCATGCCTGAAATACTCTCATGGGCTTTTCAGCCAGATCCGAATGCCTTTAGGGCTGATTCTGAGGCCAGAGTGCTATTTAGGGCATCTGCCATTCTATGAGTCTGCTGAGTATCTCACTTCCCATGTTGGATCACTCTCCCCTTTATTTATTCTATCGGTTAGTGTTAGCAGGTACTAGACTTGTTTATGTGCTCCCTTTGACTCTTAGTCCTTTCATTATGATCAATTGTGAACTGAAATTGATCACTTGGACTAGTGAGATGGCATTGGTACATGCCACCTTGATGGGATTGAATTGGAATCCCCTGGTATGTTTTTAACTCTACCATTTGGGGCAAGTCAGCTTGAGCATGTCCCAAATTATACATCTCTTCCCTCTCTTATTACCACTCTTATGTTTAACAGGGATCACATTTCAGTTAATTTTTAACACTTAAGAATAACTGTGTATTAATTACAGAATTAAACCAGTCATATTAAGTAGAACAGACAAAAAACTACTAAGAGGGATAATGTATTAAGTTGTTCATTTACAGTCAGGGCTATGCTGATCAAGTCACCATTTCCCATAGTGTCCATTTCACTTCAGGTTTCCTTTTTGGTGTTCAGTCAGTTGTCACCGATCAGGGAGAACATATGGTATTTGTCCCTTTGGGACTGGCTTATTTCACTCAGCATGATGTGTTCCAGATTCCTCCATTTTGTTGCAAATGACTGGATTTCGTTGTTTCTTACTGTGGTATAGTATTCTAAAGAGTACATATCCCATAATTTCTTTATCCAGTCTACCGTTGATGGGCATTTAGGTTGGTTCCAGGTCTTAGCTATTGTGAATTGAGCTGCAATAAACATTAGGCTGCAGACCGCTTTTTTGTTTGCCAATTTAAATTCCTTTGGGAAATTCCAAGGAGTGGGATGGCTGGGTCAAACGGTAGGGTTATCTTCAGGTTTCTGAGGAATCTCCAGACTGACTTCCATAGTGGCTTGACCAGTTTGCATTCCCACCAACAGTGGGTTAGTGTCCCTTTTTCCCCACATCCTCTCCAGCATCTGTTGGTAGATTTCTGAATGTGAGCCATTCTAACCGGGGTGAGGTGAAACCTCATTGTGGTTTTGATTTGCATTTCCCTGATTGCTAATGACCTTGAACATTTTTTCATGTGCCTGTTGGCCATTTGGATTTCCTCTTTTGAAAAATGTCTATTGAGGTCCTTGGCCCATCTCTTAATTGGGTTGTTTGTTTTGATCTTGTGGAGTTTCTTGATCTCTTTGTAGATTCTGGTTATTAACCCTTTAT